TCTCGTAGTGGAATATAAGAAATTCTGTTTCAGCTGATTTTTGAGCAGATGTGTGTTTTTCTTTGCAGATGGTTGAGGGGGTGAAGGTGGCTCTTGACACTACATTTGTACCAAACACAGGGTAAACATTTTCTTTTTTTTAAAATTAGGTAATTTTAAAGGTAATTTTAATTATGCTAGTTCTGGGAAATTCTAGCAGTCTGCAGATAAAGGTAATAGAAAATTACCTTTATCTGCAGACTGCTAGAATTTCCCAGAACTTCTCAAAATACTTTGGTTTTCTAAAAACACTGATTTTACATGGATTTTACAACTTTGCTCACTGGGTAAAAGCTCAGCATTTATTGGAGAAGATTCTTCAATATCTGTAGAATCTTCTGCAGGATAGATAATTCTGCAGTGGATAATACTTAACTCAGAAGAAATTAGAGAATTAATTCTTTCTCTTTAATTAATAAGTATTAACTTATTCTTTCTGCTTGAAAGAATTCTTCAGCTTTTTGGCCAGTGGCAAATTTATCATTTTGCAGCAGGTGCTAATCTCTGACTCCCCTTAAACAACCAGATCTTCATGTTTTGACAGTCCTAAGGCTGTCAAATCAGTAAACCAATTTTTATTTTTTTTGCTGATGCTTTTGGCCAGATGATGTCTGGGCACAGTTGAATGAGGAGGCAGAATGGGCAGTGGAATAACATTTAGTTTTCTATCTCAATTCTTTCTTTCTTTCTCAATTCAATATATTTAAATTTGGTAAGTAGCAGAGCAAAGGAGGGGAGTTTATGTCTGAATAATGCACAAAGGTTGAGGCTGCTGATAAGGATTGGTGCTAATTTATTGATGGGGAGAGCCTGCCAGAAGACTCTTGAGTTTGAAATATTGTTGGATATGAGGAATCAGAAGCTAAATCAAGAATGAGACCCCAGGCTGGGTGTGGGTCTGGCAGCACAAATGTTGTGCCAAGAGAAAGGAGGTTGGGGAGGATTAAAGAGGTGCTGAAGTTTTGTTGTGGTTGTGTTTGAATTGGTACCAAAATCAACAGGAGGAGGTGCCAGAAGAGGGCCAGGAAAAGGCAGAGTGAGGGGATGATGTCTGGAGGATGAAAAATCTGGTTTTGGTAGAGGAGCAGTGAAGAAAGGAAAGCAAGGAATGCACAAGGAAGGAACAGTGGAGATAAACACAAAAATTCATTGACAGACAGCTCTTGCTGCAGGTTTATGATGCTCCTGAAATAAACTGATGATGCCATAACACATTCCACTGAGAGAAAAAAAATTGAAACCAGATGGGTTTTAAATAAGGAGAAACAATTTTGTCTCTCTTGCTTCTTGAGGATTGTTTGGAGTTGGTAGGAAAAGTGAAAATACACAGCACCATTATCCTTATCCTGTGCCCTCTTCAGCAGTTAAATTTTGAGTAGGGAATACAGCATTTATTAACTGCCCTTAAGGGACAGCTAATAAATATATAGAAATAATAAATAAATGAAAATAAATAAATAAATAATAATAAATACATAAATAAAAATAAATAAATAATAAATATTAAAACAAATCTACATTCCTTACACACCTGTTTACTCCTGTGGATAAAAATTGCTGTTTGTGCAGGAAGAAGAGCGGGAAGTTGAAGACCACCTACAAGAGGGATTACGTGCACGTGGGCTGCAGCGTGGACATCGACCTCTCGGGGCCCACAGTGTATGGCTGGGCTGTGGTGGGCTACGAGGGCTGGCTGGCTGGCTACCAGACAGCTTTTGACACAGCCAAGTACAAGATCACACAAAGGAACTTTGCCTTGGGCTACAAGGCAGAGGACTTCCAGCTGCACACTAACGTGTAAGTGGCACAGACGTTCTGGCATAAAAATCCTTTCTTTTAGGATTTTTCCTCTTCTGGGAAGCTGAGGCCTCAAAAGGAGAATGTGAACAATGGTTATCTGCTGATGTGGAATGCAGGAGGTGCACCTGGGATTGGCTCATTTCCATGTTTACAGTTAAGGGCCAATCACAGGGCCAAGCTCTCTGGAACAGAATCACCGAGAGCTCTCTTGGGTTTAGATTCTCTTCTATCCTTGGCTTAGCAGCTTCTGCAAATTTTCTGTCTATTCCTATTAGTGTAGTCTTAATGTACTACACTATATATAATATAGTGTAGTATATTATATATATATATATATATCATATATATATATCATATATATATGATATATATATATCATATATATGAGATATATATGTATATGATATATATATCATATATCTATATATGATATATATTATATCATATTATATATATGATATATATTATATATCATATAGATATATAATATTATATATTATATATCTATCTATATAATATATATCATAAATCAATAAATGCAGCCTTCTGATGATGAAGCAAGATTCTCATCTACCTCTCTCACCCTGAGGAAGCCTCACAAGTGATGTAACATGTGAGTATTTACTGAGCCTGGAAAAACATCACAGCAGCCAAAGCTGCAGGAATCATTAGCAGCAATGGCCTTAGGTCAAAGGTGGGAGAAGGGAAGGGGATGCTGATTTGTTTCTAATTAATTTTTATTCAGTGTTTTCATTTCCAGTACAACTAAAATAGGGACAACTCCCCATCTCTTGGCTGTCCCAGCACCTTGTTTCAGAGTAATTTTGGGGTTTGTCTATCTAAGATGGTGATGCAAAGGCCCTTGAGGGTAATTTGTAATTAAAAGCTGTGAGCTTTAACTTCTGTAATGGCACAGTACAAAAAAAGCCTGCAATTAAACTCCTGTACCTTCTCCCCCTCTCAATCAAAGTTTCTCCCTCAGAAATGGCCAAAGAAAGGAGAAAGGCAGGTGTAGCATTGTTTGTTTCCAGCTGTCATCCCTGCCTTGGTGTAATCTTGGCATTCAGCTGCCTGAGATGGAGATGGTCCATTTAAACAACTGTAATGGTGCATTTAAACAACTGTAATGGTGCATTTAAACAACCTGGTTTTCCTTTTCAGTCTCCTCATTGCCATGCCTGAAGTCTCCTTTGTGTGTTACTGCACTTATTGGGTGGGTTTGGATTTTATTTTTTCTCAGAACCTCAAGCTGTAACATTTCTGCCTGTTGGAAAGTCCTGCTCCATTCTGCAAAGCAAAATATGTTTTGTGTAGAAAAATACGAGCAGCACTCTGCCAGCTCCAGCTGTAGCAGTGAAATATTGAGCTTGGGCAGTATTGGATTTCTTGGTTAATTTTAGGAGATAGTGATCAAATGATTGTGTGAGGGGTTGATGTAAGGAGTTAGTGAACAAGGCAGGGCTTGACACTCTTGCTCTGTCACCCCCAGGAACGATGGCACTGAGTTTGGTGGGTCTATTTATCAGAAGGTCACCAATAAGGTTGAGACATCAGTGAACCTGGCCTGGACCGCTGGCAGTAACAACACACGCTTTGGGATTGCTGGCAGGTACCAGCTGGATGAAAAGTCTTCTGTTGCGGTAAGAATTCTGTATTTCAGGCTCCCCTAAAGGCTGGAAATTGGTGTTATGAATTGGTTTAACTAGTAACTGAGGAAGTGTGGTACATTGCAAATTGTGGCTTCTGTTGTGGTTCACATTTAAACTGGGACCTCACACATCACATTTGGTGAAATTATTGGGGAAAAGAATTCTTAAATATAATTTTGTCCATAGTGAAATAGTCTGACCAGCGTGCTTGGAATAGTGTGCTGCAAAATATATTTTAAAAGGTAATGAAAGGGCACAGTGTCCTTTTAATTCTGAAATCCATAATGTAAAACCATATTATGATTATAATGGTGGAAATTCAGCCCTCTCTGAACAGTGAGTTAACCCTTGAAAGTCAGCTGACATGTGAGTGTTTTAAATAAGAACTGAAGTAATTGCATTTATATTTCAAAACAACAATTAGTTCCAGGACCATTGAACCAAAATTAAAGATGAGAAATGTAAATAGCTGAAAATGTAGCAATGCAAAAAGGGGATTGCATATTGATGTATTTCTTGGTCATTAGAAGAAAAATCTTCTAATGGGTGATGTGAACAGGCTGTGAGGGACTGTAGTAGGTATTTAAAGTATGTAAAGTATTTTTAGTATTTATATAATATATAATATTATATATTATATAAATATATATTTATATATAAATATATAAATAAAAAATAAATAAAGTATTTAAAGGATGGAAAGACACAATAGAGGAGGCAGTGAAGAAGAGCAGGGCATTCTGTGCAGGCAGAATTGGTGCAGGGTTACCATTTGCTTAACGTGGAAACTGCTGAAAAAAGGAAAAGATTTGAATTTGCTTCTGATAGAGGTTGGTGTAAAACCAGCTGAATTGTGTTAATGCATAAAGCCCCTCCTCAGGGCACTGGGACACTTGTGTATGAATATTTTATAAATATTGTGATTTTTATTTCTTGTAGGCCAAAGTGAACAATGCCAGCCTCATTGGAATTGGTTACACTCATACCCTCCGACCTGGTAGGTAATTCTCACTGCAGATGAGTAATTAGTGTTAATTAGTGCACCGTGGTTTAATTCCCTGTTGTCTTAAGAACAGAAGAGATGAACAGAAGGTTCAGAGGATGTGCATGCCCAGGGTTCCTGTGGGCTCAGAGCACTGCACAGGGAGCTGTCAGGGTGTGAGGGCTCTCCTGATTTGCTTTTGCAGGTGTCAAGCTGACACTCTCGGGCTTGATTGATGGCAAGAATTTCACTGCTGGAGGTCACAAACTCGGGCTGGCATTTGAGCTGGAAGCTTAACACAGCTTGAAGTGAACCAACTGGTGGTGCTCTGGAAGATGAAGGAAAAGTGAACCCCATGCATTTCAGCCTTAAGATTACTCTGAGATTTGAAGAAGTGTGAACTTCCTGCTCTTCCCAAGAATGACTTGAACTCGATGCTGAAGTCCAGAGAGTGCCAGCACAACAAAGGAAGACACGTGAAGGCAATGCATGGAAGTTGTGATGTTTGTGCCACATTTCAGTTTCCTGTATTTTAAATCTGTTTCAAAAAAAAAAAAAAACAGAAGAAAATCCAACCTCTCCCCACTATTGTATTGCATTTTGCATGTCCTATACTTCACAGCCTTTTATAAAAGGAGGTCTCTGTGCTGTAGTGGAAATTTGGGGTTACATCAGAATGAAATAAATTGGTCACGGTCAGAACACGAGGTTGGTGTGTGTTGACTCTCACAAGTTCCCATCCAGCTGAGTTTTTTGGTCTTTTGTTTTCCTTTCCATGCAAATTTAAGCATAGTTAATCTGCAAATCCCTGTACACTGAAGATTTCCTTCTCCTTTGGTTTCTAAGATAACATTTTTACCCCTCTCATGTTTTAGAGACCCGCACAGTGAAAGCAGCTTTTTCCATTAAATTGTTATTGAGCGCATCAAAAAGAGCAAACCAAAAGTTTACATGGTTCAGATCATTTCGTTCCCATACAGGAAACAAGTATTAGGTAAGTACAACCATTACACTTAAAGAAAAAAAAAGTGCAAATCAGCAAAGTTCAGAAATTGAGTTCACAGTTCATTAGGAAGGTGACATCTACCAGTGACTGCGGATCCATGTCCATTGTTCATAGGAAACCTAAAATGCAGCAAAACAGCCCCAGGTGATGCCTAAGGGAGGATTTATCAGGACAGAGCATCTGCTGTCTTAAGGCACAATTAAAACATTTTCCAAGCAGTTAAGAGCAGGCGTTCCCTACTGGATCTTTGTGAAAAAGTGTCTGAGAGGTGGATGCTGAAAGCTGGGCCGTGTCACAGCAGCACCTGGTGACAGGAGAAGGAGGGAGGTGATGTTCCCTTCTCAGAGGCAGCAGCTTTTCACAGTTGGCTTCCCAAAGCAGCTTCAGAGCAGCCAAAGTGATTTTACATCTCTGTCTGTCCTGGGCTGTTCGTTTCTTCCACCTGAAGCTGCAGCCAGCTCCAGTCCAGAGCCTGGAGAATAAATGAAATTCAACACTAGCTCACACTTAAACTTTGTCTAGAATAAAGGTGAAGCATGTTAAAAACAAGTTGGTCAATATAATTTCATGATGAGCTATCAAGGAGACTTAACCTACTTGCACTCTGGTATTTTACAATCTTTTTAATATTCTGCATCACTAAATAAAGCATCCCTGCCCACCACTGTACTGCCACCCACTGATCTAAATTTGGGTGCAGTTTTGCAGTATTTTAGTACAACAGCCAAGGGTTTTGCCCCATCCTTTACTGTTCAGCACAAGTTCCCAATCTGGGCAAGCAGAATATGTCAGACAACAGATGATGAGGAACAGGAGCTTCCGATCTGTGCTGCTCCTGCTCTCCCCTTGTCCAGGAATAAATTGCAGATTTCAATTTGCTAAATCAGTGGTGGCAAAGCTGCAGGAGCAGAACTTTGAAACCATGCACTTCCCCAATCCATTTAGAGAAGAGTGAATCCATTACCAAGAAACTCTGCTCTTGATCCTTCATTGTGTCATGCATCACATTTTCTAGCTGGCTACAAAG